ACGATAAGTGTTTAAATCCATAGTTCTTCAATTTCTACGTGAGTCTCTGGGCTCCAGTTTTCTCATCCGCAAAATGAAAGCATTGAACTACATAACCTCAAAGTACCTTCATCTCTAAAATCGTATGATTCCACAAGTTAAAACTAAAATCTATTTTGGAAATGTCTTTTATCATTACCACAAAAGGCATATATATGTTTTTATGTACCAATATGAACTGTAATAAGGATATACATAAGAGTGTTTTCACAAATCTACAGAAACTGCATTTTAAAACTATTGATCTAAGGCTATAGCTGTATCCATATCTATTGTGTCCAGGCCACCACATTTTACACTGAAACAGAATTAGCATTATGTATGATGTTTGTTTTTATTTTTAATCCTGTGTGTTCAGGAAAAGCTGTGTGAATATATAACACTGAAATTTCCTAAAAAGTTAAGCCTGGATACTATATAATTTTAGAGCTCTCCTAATCTAATTGTTCCTTTTAGAAGTGTAATAGAGCATCTACTGAAATATGCCAATTCTTCCGTAATACTATGAAAATGCAATTCTCTCTCTCTCTCTCACACACACACAGTTACAATTAAACAAGTTTTCTTTGACTGTCTTAATCTCATTTCTGATACCCAATTAGTGTGCCTCTGTATAAAATGCACGAAAAACAATAGTTAATGTATAGTAGTTGCACATGTCAGTTATTATACATCAACAGCCATAAAATTAGCAGATAGTTTTGATACTTTGTTCTCAATCAAATTGTTTAATTGTCTCTATCAGGAGCTCAACCTGTCCTACCCCCCACCCCTCCAAAAAAAGCATTCTAAAATTCCCAAGCGCTAACAGTTCGGTTTCTTCCACACCCCACCCCACCAAATTTATAAACACAAAAGTGTCAATATAGACATAATCTATTAATTTGCTGATTATTAATTGACTTCAGCTATATAACACATACATTGCTACCAGTCATAATTCTGAACGGTATGGACTATTACTGTGTGCGTGAATGTGAGGCAAATATGTACCAATTTCATTATTTTGAGAATCAGTTGTGATAACTTTAAATCTAGAATACATAACAACAGCAAATATTTTCCGTTAAGATTTCTTTTCAAACCAATGAGTCTTTCTTTAGCTCTCGGTTAGGAAGGCAAGGAAATTGGTTCATGTTAAATAGTTAAATAGAGTTTGTTAGCTAACAGTCTCCTAACTTCAAAAATAAGCACTGGGAATGGGTTTGAGCGGATGTGTTGAGTTTCTTGATGAATGTTTTCTAACTATGGCATCTTATGCACAATAACCTTACGGTTCTTGACTTCTCTTAACATGAGGTCCACCAACCCCCTTCTCCTAAATCTCTCACATATTCTCACCTCCTTAGTTTTGTTTTTCTGGAAGGAAGGAAGGAAGGAAGGAAACAAACAAGCATTTATTAAGTGCTTGTGATGTGCCAGGCACAAGTACAAGTACAAGTACTTGGTAGAAATACAAAGAAGGGCAAAAACACAGTTGCTGATCTGAAGGTGCTTACATTTTAATGGGTCAGATCACATGTAAACAATAACAGAGATATTGGTAGATAACAGTATTGGTAGAGTAAAGAGAGAGCAGCTTCTGGAGCCAAGAAGACCAATGTTCAAGACCTCCCTCTGACACATACTTCCTATTTAAGGTTATAAGCTGAATAAAAGGTGTTGAGCTGCACTGGTAGGGGGCGTTTTCTCATCTAAAAGTTCCTTACATCAATGAAATCACAGACCCAGTCCACCTCCCTGTATTTTCTTACCTGCATGTATATGTTATGCCCCTTCCTCTAGTCCATAACATAAACTAATCAAGATAAGAATTGTTCTGTTCTTGTCACGACATTACCAGTGCTACATACAATGTCTGGCACAATGCAGCACTTAGTGCTTGTTGAATTAAACTAAAAATTGCAGTGTGTAATCTTGGACTCTTCCCTCTTTCTTTCCCCCACTGCTAAATCTCATTGCGTCTTCTTCCACAACATTCAGACTCTCAATTATCTCTAACCTAGATCGTTGTAGCATCTTCTAAATTGGACTTCTATCCCTTCATCTCCTTCCTCTTCAATCCACCCTCCACACAGCTGCCAAAATAATCTTCCTTAAATCTTCACATGTCACTCCCTTGGATCAAGAAACTTCCATGACTTCCTCATATCTCTAGAATAAAATATAAACCTTTCTAGCACAGTTTCAGCTACCTTTGCAGTCTGATTGTTTATCATTCCCCATTCACACACTCTTCATTCCTTACAAACAGCCGGCTTACTTTTTTCTAAACTTGGCACATCCTCTTCTGAATCATTCCTTTGCACAAGCTATCCTATCCCTATCCCTGGAACGAACTTTCTTACTTCTGCCTCTTACAATCCTTAGCTTCCTTGAAGGCTATGTTGATGAGGCATTTTCCTAGGGAAAAACCTTTCCTTATTCCCTAAGTTGTTAGTGCTTAATGTTTGTATGTGAAGTATGTGTGCATACATATACACACATACATATATATGCAAACTGTTTCTTTTTTATACGTTGCATTCCTGTTCCCACTTCCTAGCAGAATGGAAACTCCTTAAGGACTAATTTTCATTGTCTTACAGCAATAATGGCCAACAAAATGCATTATACATAGTAGGCACAAAAAGGCTTGGTGAATAGAATTTTTACTCTGACATTTATTTATTTCTGAGAACACCTGATTATTTTATTGTAGTTTACTTATCTAGTATACTGGGCAGAACCTATCTTGGGAAATTGCTGTAGTAATGAGATTAATCTCCTTTCAGAAAAAGAATTCTGGCCTAGTCTAGATGAAAATTATTAAAGGTCTTCCAGCTAAGTCAAAACATTAGTATGACACACAAGTTAACATTTCTAGAGAAAATGCCGATCTTATAAAAATCAATTATGCCTCACCTTACGCAAAAGATGTGCTGAAAAGTTTCATGTAAATGAAAATGTATTTTAAATGCACTGGAGAGCCTAGCTATTTAAAAGTATTTTACGTTAAATGCTTTTGTAAACTAAATAATCAGCCTTAGACTTGTGTGTAAAAATTAATTTTCATTAATTAAATTAATCAAATGAGATGAAACTGTACACTTGACATAGATTTTTTTCAATTACATACTAATGTTTTAAATGACTACATGGTGGGAGTACTGTCATCTGGGCAGACTGTCCTCCTCTCTCTCTGATTTTTTAGGATCCAATTTATATCCTTTTTTAGCCATCCAATTACTCTGGCCCATGTTGATTTTTATTTTTACTTTCCTAAATTTCTCTATTTTTTAAAAAATAAATTTAGCTTCACTTGATAGATACAAATATGTATCTATCAATTTTGCTGCTGTAAATCTATGTAAAATATAGTCTCTATCACCACATGTAAATTTGTTTCTCCTTCACCTTTTTGGATTCTTTACTTTTGTGGGTTTGTTTTTTTTTTTTTTTTGCAATTGGGGTTAAGTGACTTGCCCAGGGTCACACAGCTAGTAAGTGTTTGGTCTGAGGCCACATTTGAACTCAGGTTGTCCTGACTTCAGGGCCGGTGCTCTATCCGCTGCGCCACCTAGCTGCCCCAATTCTTTACTTGTGGCCTGAATTCATATAGAATACAGTGATATATAGTAGGATGCTCAGTGCATATAGGATACTTAGGAAATAGTCCTGAGTGACAAACTCTGTTACCACTAAAACAAGAAATTTAACCCCCATATCATCTTCTAGGTGGATACATCTCTTTCTCAGTCTAATCTGCTGCGTCTTCATCCACGTCGCACCCATGAGTGTACTACAAGACTCTGTCTTATGCCTTTCTTCTCTTTTCTCTGTGTACTCTCTCAGTTGATGATTTATCAACTCCCAAATGTTTAATTATCATCCCGATGCAGATGATTTCCAGATCTATAAATGTAGCTACTTTCTTCTGTGATCTAGTCCCACATCACAAAGTGTTTATTAGACATTTCAAACTGCATGTTTCATAGGCATCTCATACTAAACCTGCCCAGAACAAATCTCACGATCTTTTTGCCCAAACCCAACCTTCTTCTGGACTTCTCCAACATGGTAAAGGCTATAACCATTCTTTCAGTCACTCCAGGCTTACCATCTCAGTGGCATCGTCAGCTTCGCTTGGCCCAGATACCCTATGAGTTGCCAGATACTGCTGTTTCTGTCTGTGCCATGTAACTTGTGCCTTTGTGTCCTTGACTTCATTCGCAGTCACCATCCTAGAGCAGGTCTTCATTCTCTCCTTCCTGCACAGACTGGGAAGAGTCTCCCTGCCTCAAATCTCTCCTTTCTCGAATTCACCTGCCACTTCACCACCAAATTGATTTTCGTAAAATGTGGAGCTGACTGTGTCACTTCTCCTACTCAATAAATTTGAGTGGCTTCTTATCACTTCTAAAATCAAATATAAATTCTTCTGTCATTCACAGTAATCTTTTTATTCATTACTCCCCTACACACACCAACCACACTACACTGTCTTGCTTCCTCATACACACCACTCCATCTTCCATCTTCACACTGGCTCTTTCCCTGTCTTTCCTTTACTCCTCACCAGTTATTAATGCCATCCCAATCTAAGGTCACCTTGTATGTATTTTGTATGTACCTTCTATATAACTGTTTTATGTTCATGTGTTTCCTCCATTAGAATGGGAGTTCCACAAAGACAGGGCCTGTTTTTCTCCCTTTTCTTTGTATCCTCAGAGATTGGCACAGTGTCTGACACATTATAAGTGCTTAATAAGTGCTTGTTGACTGATCGAGTAATAAGATTTTACTCATTAGCCAAGATACAACTCAGCTGTTGTTGTTCAGTTGTTTTTCAGTCATGTTTGATTTTTCATGACCTGATTTGGGGTTTTCTTGGCAAAGATACTGGAATGATTTGCCATTTCTTTCTCTAGCCCATTTTATAGATGAGGAAACTGAAGTAAAGTGACTTGCCTGGGGTCACACAGCTATTAAGTGTCTGAGGTCACATTTGAACTCAAGAAGACTCCTGACTCCAGGCCCAGCACTATGTGCACTATGGCACTACCTGGAGGTATTCAGAATTCTTGAATTACATGCATTCTCTCCTATGTACACTATGACACAAGGCTTGGATTATGGTCACTATAATTGGGGATGGTGAGATTTTCATAATTTGTGAAGCACAATTCAGGTGCTCAATAAGCATTTCATTCAACTCTCAATTATTTAACACTTATTAAATGCTTTTAACACTTACTGCAATATTTTGCTAGTGATGGAAGGAGAAACAAATATACTTAAGACATGGCCCTAAACTCACAGAATTCACCACTGAGCAAAAGCAAATCATGGTGCTAATAAGAGTGGAAAAAGCTAAGTCAAGGCAATATACCACACCTTAAGGTAAAGTCAACATTTTGATCACATGATCTAATTTTTCACTAATGGAATACTTAGAAGCTAAAAGAGACTTGTCAATTCTGTTGTTCTTCTTGGCTCCATCTCCCTCTTTCTCCTCAATTACGCATTTTAAAGTAACAACTAAGACAAAATGCCAAACATATACTACCATCAGAAGAAGAGTTATAATAGGATGTCTAGAATGTATTTACCTGGTTGTATTTACTGATGGAGCAAATTAAATAGACAAATGGTCCTAACGAGCAAAGAAATATCAAAGGTAAACCTTATGATAGGGTCTGAAAATGAAACTTTTAAAAAAAAATTGTACTTTGGCCTACAGCAGGTATGCCTTTAAATTACCAAATGATTTTTTTTTGGTTGAATTTTGTTGTAGACATAATCTGAAAGCATGAAAACGTCATTCAAGAAAAACACTGGATCACTTTTGCTTTCCATATCCACATAGAAGAAAAGAAAAGTTTCAATGACTTTCACAGTTTCAATGACTTCAACTTCCACTCACTCCCTGCCTTGTTCTTCCTATGACAACATCTTCATGAATAACCAAAGTAGCCAATGCCAAAATGACTCATCAGGGACACCAAATGCTACCATCTGCCCTATGAATGAACAATTATTGTCTGTTGTTTTAACAATTTTCTACTCTGTAATTTTTATTGTGGGACTCGTTGGAAACATTATAGCTCTTTATATATTTTTGGGAATCCATCATAAAAGAAATTCTATTCAGATTTACCTGCTTAATGTAGCCATTGCAGATCTCCTACTCATCTTTTGCCTCCCCTTCCGAATACTGTACCATGTTAACAAAAACATTTGGACATTGGGTGTAATTCTCTGCAGGACAGTGGGAACACTATTCTACATGAATATGTATATCAGCATTATTCTTTTGGGTTTGATCAGTTTGGATCGCTATATAAAAATTAATCGGTCTATCCACCAACAAAAAGCATTAACAACTAAGCAAAGCATTTACATCTGTTGTACAGTGTGGGCAGTAGCTATAATTGGATTTTTAACTATGATCATTTCAACACTTAAGAAAGGAGGACATAATTCTACAATGTGCTTCCATTATAGAGATAAGCATAATGCAAAGGGGGAAGCAATTTTTAACTACATCCTAGTGATTGTGTTTTGGTTAATTTTTCTTCTACTAATCCTTTCCTATATTAAGATTGCCAGTTATCTTCTGAAGATTTCCAAAAGGAGAGTCAATTTCCCTAATTCTGGAAAATACCATACCACAGCACGGAATTCCTTTATTGTGCTTATTATTTTCACTATATGTTTTGTTCCTTATCATGCTTTTAGATTCATTTATATCACATCACAGCTAAAGACAACACCATGTTACTGGAAGGAGATTTTCCACAATATCAATGAGATCATGCTTGTACTCTCATCTTTTAACAGCTGCTTCGATCCAGTTATGTATTTTCTGATGTCCAGCAACATCCGCAAAATTATATATCAACTTCTTTCAAGAAGATTTCAAGGGGAATCAAGTAGAAGTGAAAGTACTTCAGAATTCAGAGCAGGTCATTCTCCTCATGATACTTCTGTTAGTGTTAAATTCAATCAACATTTACGAGTACTCTGAGATGAATGTTACAAAGAATTATGAATAGTTACGTTTTACCAAAACCATTTACTAACAATGATAAGTATTGGAGAACTATCAAATTCAGTACTGATAACGTTTCTAGCATTACCTAAAAACCCCCAAAAACCCAAAGCAGTATTTACTGATTTTTTCTTTTTGTAAATATAGCATGTTATGTTTTATTTGCTTGACTTATCAAATAATATGTTGAAGAGGAAGAAAAGGTCATAGTCATTGCTATATGGTTTTAAGTCTATGATATTCCAGTCTAAGATCTTTTAAAAAGTGTTAATCTAAAGTACTGTTATATTTGTAAAAATGGACTGCAAAAGTATTTATTGAAATTTATGACCTTAATAACAAGTTGAAGAAAATTTTAGTTTCCCAAATTAGTAAACTATGCTGGTATGTTTCCAACTCTTTAAATAGTGCATAACAAATGGAGGGGATAAATGTCTTAGATTACTTTAAGATGACAGTAATATGTTGTTATTCAAAAATTTGCCATGTTATTTGTCAAATTCATACATTAATACCTTTTTTTAAAAAAGTAAAACATGAAAATTTCCAGTTTCTATAAACATAAACCAAATGGTTAAGGTGGATGACTTGATACTTAGCAAACTAAATATTTTTTAAAAACCACACAGACACACACACAAACCAATGATACCATTTATTCCTCAACTACATGGCGAAATAAAACTATTTAAGGAAGAAATACATTCCAAAGTTCTTCATCCACATCTTCTAACAATATGCAAACACTTCACAAAAGCAAGCCCTATGATATAACTGAAAGTATTAGAAACTGAAACATTTAAAAAGCAAATGGATTTGGACACAAAATAATTAGGTTTCTAAATCAAATAAACTTGTTCACAATTCTCTGGGAGAGAGATTACAGGAATGAATGATATCACTTCTATAACTACACCTTAACGATGAGAAAAGCAAAGGAACTCATATGCTCAGTGATTAGGGAACAGCTGAATAAACTGTAGTACATAAATGTGGACTATCACTGTACCGTAAGATGTAACAAATATGAAGAAAACAAAATGTAACATTTATATGAAGTGATGAATGAATCGAAGAATCTCAATGATATACATACTGACTATGACTAAATAAAAAGAACTGAGACAGAATTCAAAGATACAAAGAAGAAAAGGGATATCAGAAGGGGACATGGGAGCAAAAAGGATGTTTCTGTTATCATTCTGCTAAAGTTAACATATACTTAAAAATAAATTGCAAATAATTTGGAGCTTATGATTTTAGGTACATTTTATTTTATCTGCATGTTTTACTGATGATTACTAAGCTGAGAACTTTTTTTCAAAAGAAGTTTTAAAAATTAATAAAAAAATCACAGAATTTAAAAGTTGTAAGGGACTTCAGAAGTCACTTGAAAGAAAAAAAGGGGTATTATTAATATTAGCCCCATATTGCTTTTCCTTTGTTGTTCGGTTGTTTTTTTTTTTTCTTTCTAGGGGGATGGCTACTTTACACCTTTTCCAGAAAAGCCTGAAAACAGTAAAGTCCTGGTGCTGGCCTTTTTTTTTTTTTAACTTCCTGCTCAGTGTCCATTGACTTCCATTGAAAATGAAAGAATTGTCTCTTTCCCATCCAGAACTAATGCCAGTGGGCTCCTAGAGAGCAGGAATCATTTCCTGCACATCTTTATATCCATCAGAGTCTAAAACAGTAAGTGCTTAATAAATATTGTTGAAGATGATACTTCCCCTCCACTAAGTTTGAGGCCTACTTTTAAAAGTGACAGTCACTAGAGCCGAGTTATATCTAGTCTTGTCCATTACTAATAAACATTGGGAAAATTAACCATACTGGGACTTAGTTTCTTCACCTATAAAACAATGGAACAGGGATGCAAAATTTCTAAGGACATTTCTAGGTCTGAAATGCCATGATTCTATCAGTCATTTGGGTTTGTGCAGCTAAATACTGATTATGTGATCAAATGGGGCATATCGTTAAGGCAGTTAATTTATCTAGTTTAGATACATATCTGTTAAATGCTCCTAGCATTATAAATTAAATTTTGTTATAACAAATTCAAAAACCTTGTACCACGCAGTAATGAAATTTTGTCTTGACATGAATGGCACATTAGCTAGGACTACAAAATCTTTTTATTACACAGAATGGAGGCTTTCCCCATAAGGGTATTCTATATATATATATATATACACATACACACATATATATATGTATGTATAGCTTAGTGATTACCACTAAAATTCATCTCATATATATACATATATATGTACTCACAAAAGAATAGTACTAAGCAGATTCTCAAAAAATATAAGCAAATACAATTCAGGGAATAATTCTAAAATTATTCTGCAAATTATAGCTGCAAAATCACAGACTCAGGGAAGGAAAAGAAATATAACTAGATTGTTTTTCACTGGTACTCTAGCTAGAGATTATTTTCAGTGTGGTTTGGTGGAAAAGCAGGAAATTCTAGATAGAATTATCTGAGCTGAAACTTGAAGGATAAGTAGAAAAAATTCACAGGCAGACCTGGGGGTTGGAAGGTGCATGAAGAAAGAAGGGGTAGCTAGGTTGCACAGTGGATAGAGTGCCAATCCTAGAGTCAGGAGGACCTTAGTTCAAATTTGGCCTCCCACACCTGACACTAGCTGTATGTCCCTGGGCACAGTTGCTTAACGCCACTGCCTAGCCAAAAAAAAAAAAAAAAAAAAAAAAAAAGAGAATTCTGGATAGAGGAAATTGCGGAAAAGTAAAGGAATAACAAGTAATCTAATTTGGCTGCAACAAAGGGTGTATAAAGGGGAATAAAAGTAGGCTGTGATCAAATTATGGAGGGTCGTGACCACCTAGTGAAGGACTAAACTTCATTTGGCAGGTAATGGGCAACTGTTAGAAAATTTTTTAGGAAGCTGTGGTAATTGTGTGATTCTAACATAATGATTTAGATTTTCCCTTATGTTCTCAAACTTACCTTGTTATTTTCATGACATATTGTAAATACTTCATAAGACTATAAATAACTATAAATTATTGGTGAAAAATTTAAAACCTAATTATAAATAACTGAGTTTAAGAATATAAGCTACAAGTTCTTTTGCATGAGTCTTTTTGTGGGTTTATGGAATTAATCTTTAAAAGAAAAAATAAACATATTTAATCCTGGAAATCACATACTGCATATTTAAAACAATATACTTAAATTATAAAATACTTATAAAATCCAAACTGAATAAATAAATCAGTTAATCAGCAAGCATTAATTAAGGACGTATATTAGAATCCTCATAGAGAGCAGACAGAAACAAAAGGCAATAAAAGACAAATATATTTTGCATCTTGTTCAAGGATCTTGCTTACTAAGTAACTGAAAATTGTGCTATAAGGTAGTTTCACTTATAATGAACTCCTATGGCCTAGAGAACATTTTTTTTTTTTAAATCAAGGTTGCAATGCTTATAATTTTTGGAAAATAATGTTCAGTTTTAAGGGTATGTATTTCAGGTACTGTTATAGCCATATTACTTCTGTGGGTGTGTGTGTGTGTGTGTGTGTGGGAACTTACATTCTAAAGGGGAAGACAATAAGACATAAGTTTGTAGAGAATAAATACAAAGCAGTTTGTAGGAGACAGCACTAAAAGACAGCTGAGGGGATCACAAAAGGCTCTGAGGCAGTGGGGAGAAGGAAGCTCATTTCAAAAGGGAGAGATGCAAAAGCACAGAGACAGGAAACGCAGAGTACCACGGCCAGTCCGCCTCTCCAGACAGAAGTGGGCACAGAGAGGCAGTCACTCGACTTCAGAAACAACTTTAGGATTGTGACCCCTGGCAGCAGTGAGGAGAGCTGTGGGTTCAAGAGAAAACCAGACCTAACAACTAAGAATCCATGTGCAGAAAGTATTAGCTCCTAAGAGCCCAGCTCAGTGACTCACCTTGCAGAAATGCTGTGCCCAGAAGGAAGCTGCATGATGAGAGCCAAGAGAAAAGGAAGGACATCAAAGCTACTGGAAGAGTTGGCTGCCTTGGCCATATGCATTCTGTACATGTGTGCTTTACTATCATTGTATTCCAAGTTTACCCCCATTGTTCCCAGAGGTACTGTGTGTAGTTATGGGAGATTATGTCCCAGGTTTCTGAATGGAATGTTTTATAGCTTGTTCCCTATGCCATCTCAGTAAATCACTTGGCTGTGAGCTTACGTTTAGGCTCACGAATTACGTTTTAGGAATGTCAACAAATACGGTACCTCTCTGAATTTGTAGCTGTCAGAGCAGTAGCTGCCCTCTGGAAAAGTAGCCTAAAGGAAGTAAAATATTTCTAACCATCTGGTTTATACAGATAGGAAACATTGTTTCCTCTTTTTCTGTTCACCATTCAGTCCCATAAGCATTTAAAAAACAGAAATTCAGAACTAGGTATATATGAATAAATGAACAAAAAAAACCAATTTCATAAAAAGTGCTTACTGTGCGCCAAGCATTCATGCTAAACACCAGGGATATAAATACAAAAGCAAGACTGTACCTGCTCTCAAGGAGCTTATATTCTAATGGGGAAGACAATGTTTCTAAAGGAGGTGGTCTGAGAAGTCATCTGAGATGATGAATATGAAAAACTAGGAAAATAAACTGAAATGCCATTTTCCAGAGGCAATGGAAGTACAGGCCAGTTCTGGTTTTAGGTGCTGAGGAGCTTGAGTCAGCAAGCCTACAGCGGGCCATATCTTAGTCTAGGTCCTGCAGCAGCTCTCTTCCTTCCTGGCTTCTGCCCAAATATTCTTCCCCCTCTGCTCTACTCCTATACCCGATTTGAGTATTCTGCTTCCCCTAAACATGTATAGATATGGCATATGAGCAATACTATATACAAAGTTAGTATTCTGGTCTTACCACTTGTCTCAAAAATCTTTAAACTTCAAACTTTTTAGCTAGATATTCAAAACCCTCTACAATCCTGTCCTACTTTTCAGTTTTATCAAACCTAGCCTTTTAAGTAATCTACGCTGTGGCCAAACTGGACCTTCTCTGTTTCCTGAATGTGCCCTGTACTTTCCCAACTCCATGCCTTTATTCATATTCCCTCTGCATGGAATGTCCTTTTTACTCTTCTCCACTTGTTGAATTTCAGTCCATCCTTTAAAGTTCAACTCAAGTGCCATCTCCTTTGGGAAAGCCTCCAAGACTCTTCTCCCTTGATCCCCCCCAGACCCTAGATATCATTTTTGCTATGTGCCTGTCTAATTTTCTCATATATTATATAGTTATGAGTATCATATCATAATGATAATAATAATGATGATAGCTAACATTTATATAGTACTTTAAGGTTTATAAAGTACTTTATAAGTATCTCATTTTATCCTCACAAGAACTATGGGAAATAGGTGCAATTATTATCCCTGTTTTATAGATGAAGAAACTGTGTCGTACAGAGGTTAAATAACTTGCCCAGGATCATACAGCTAATAAGTGTGTGAGGCTGCATTTGAATTCAGGTCTTCCTGACTACAGGTCCAGCCCTTTATCCATTGTACCACCTAGCTCTGTGTCTTACCTTGTTTTTACATCTCACCCAGCACAGTATACTCTGTATACACAAGGTGCTTAATAAATACGTGTTGAATAGGTTATAGTTTTAACTAAAAAAAAAAATACTTAGCAATCTGATAACTTTAAGACCCCAGGGCCTTTAGTGTGGCTGTTCTAGTCCTTTTATTTCCTCTATAAAGCCATTTTCTGGCCCTCTAAGAGCCTCTCTCTGTCTCTCTCTCTCTATCTCTCTCTCTTTCTCTCTCACACACACAGAGAAATATGTGCTGTTGTTGTGTCTTTTTTCCTTCTATTTACAGCATCAGTCCTCTTTTTTTAAATCTTTCCCTTTTCTTTTTTGGTACTCAATAACTTTGCTTTCTCTTTTTGACAATTAGATTTGTTTTTCTTTATTTCAATATTATGTTATTTCACAATTTATCTTTTTTTCTCTCCCCTTTATATAAGGAAATGCTTTAGATACATGTATAAATGCATTCTGGGGGCAGTTAGGTGGTGCAGTGGATACAGCACCGGCCCTGAAGTCAAGAGGACCTGAGTTCAAAGCCAGCCTCAGACCAAACACTTGACACTTGCTAGCTGTGTGACCCTGGGCAAGTCACTTAACCCCAATTGCCTTAAAAAAAAATGCATTCTGTACTGAAGAGGAGAACACTGCTACATGAAAAAAAACCCAACAACTTTCAGCAGGTTGCAAAGGGAACTGAATGGGTTTGCATGCATGCCCATTTTCAGTTCCCCTTTGTGGCCAGCT